AAACAGAATAGAATAATATATTATGGAATACAATGAAATGTACATAAAAAAATTTAATTAAAATAAAGTGTAATAAGAAAAAAATTAACATAAAATAATACAAAATAAATAAAAAAAAGAAAATCAAATTATTTTAAGTATAATATAATGTGATAAAAATTAATTAAATAAAACAAAAATTAAAATAAAACCATTTATATCAAATCAAATAAAATCAGAGGGAATAAAATAAAATAATTCAAATGAAAGTAAATAAAATTAAATAAATACAAAAAATGAAATAATTTGAAATAAAATAAAAAATAGATAAAAATCAAATAAATTTAAAATAAATTTAAAATGAAAAAAATTAAGTTAAAATAAAATAAACTAAAAGAAAATAAAGCAAAATGTAACAAAATAAAATAATATGAATTGAAATAAAAAAATAAAATAAAATGAAATTTAAAAAAAAAACAAATAAGATTATAAGAAACAAAATAAAATAATAAATAAAGTAAAATTAAATAAAATAAAATAAATTTAATGAAATAAGATAAAATAAAATAAAGAAAAATTAAAAAAAAGTGAAATTAAAATCAAATAAAATAAAATATAGAAGTGAATTGAAGTCATTCAAATGAGAAATATGATATAAACATAGGATTTAATATAAAAATTTTAATTATATGGTAATTGTTGCGGTTATCTCCGAAACTTGTTAGCAAATAATTCATTTTAGTTAAAAACTAGTCAGCTTTTCTGAGTAAATAATATCAATTTAAATTAAATAAACTAAAAGACACCAAAGGTTTCATGTGGTTTTAAGGAAGTTTGGTAATAGAATATTTTATCTAGTTTTCAGTATAAATAACCTACATCAGATCCGATAAGCTTGAATTTTAGTGTACTCGCATGGCGGCGATGGGAATATGCATACGCTTTCCATTGACGAGTCTTTATTTAGGTATTTTGGTAGTCATTCCACCAAACAATTTATTAGAGAACAGCAGATACAAAAACTAGATGCTTACGAGCAGCTGTGGAAATTTATATATTTTAATTCGTCACTTATTTCGGAGCTTAAGCGGTTGAACATCCCAAAGGAAGCCTGCTATTAGGTTTAAAATTTGACCTTGAAGATTAGAAAATATCCCACATCCGACTGATGACATCGTATTTTTTGATAACTTTTTATATATTAAGATCTCCTACAAGATTTGAAAAAGGTATTAAGGCAATTGGAACTATTCGCGAATGACGGACGAAAAAAGTGTTCTTTTGAGGAAACGAATAAAAGCACTGCAAAAAGGGCAGCGACGAGGGTTTGGCCAAATTATGATTTAATTATATGATAAAGCTTATTCATTGATTCTGAAATTCTGTTTGTTAAATGGAAACACTACAATGGGAGCATACTTTGATATAATTGAACCGTACCGTCAAACCATGGTCAAGAAGGAAAGGACGACGTAAGATGAATGTTCATCAGCCAAAATTAATCGCACGAGCAAGCTTTAAATGCTCCTGAAATAAAGTTTCAGGCAAACAAATTTTTTTTTTTTACATCAAAAGCAATTTTTTGCGCAGCTAGCGCATAGAACATCATAGCAATATTGCGCGATTTTATGTTTTTATAATTGTCACTTAGTAACCGCTGAAGCGATTTTCGTCCGAGCTCCTCGGCCAATTTGTGGTATGCTTCTTGATGTTTTCTAAAAAACTATAGTGAATTACAGTTTGCCATGGGCTTTTATTCCATTTCAAATATTCACTCTGTTCTGCCGAGGGGCGGCCGCATATAGATAACATCAGAACTTTTCATAAAACCATTTTCCGAAACGAAACTCGAACCGGCTCAGGTGTGCGGATTGTGGATTTATGAGCCATGTTATATGTTACATTGCATAAATGGCGAATGTTTCAGTAATTATCATAATATTGATCATCAAAGAATCGTTAAACTTTTCTTGCATTTGTTACCAGTCTTTACATAGGTACCCCACATTATCCCATTGTACTCGCTTGGAAACAGGTCCAAATGAACACTTCTAGAAACTTAACAGCAATTATTTTTTGAGGGGAAGTTAGTTACATCATTTCAATGAATGTCATATAAATGAAAAAAAAAAAACAAAATGGTTTTATATATGGTTGGGACTCAACGGGTTAAAACTATAAGTTTTTAAATTAAAATATAAATAATAATATATCAAAATTTTCCTACCAGCGATAGTTTAAATTTATACGTTAAAAAATTTTGTTAAAAAGCCTAACCGATGGGAAATGTTAATATTTGATAAGAAAAATAAATTTTACTTATAAGGTAAAAAATTAAATGCAGTGGCTAAAATTTAGTTTAATAGTTGCTTAATAGTTTCCAATTATAATACACCCATATACATATACATAACACCAAACAAAAATTACTTGAAAGCCCAGCAATTGCAATTGTAAAACTCTACAATTTATAATAAATTTATAAACATATAGATATACAACATACCCAGTTTCAAAAATATTTTTGTATGAGTGTGAGAATAGTTTGAAAGGAGCTTTGAAAATACTTACGTCGTGGGTACTGAAGTGTACAAAACAGTGCATAAAATTTTTAGGAAATATCAAAAGCAAAGACGAAAAAAAGTTAAAATATTTTTAGTATTATTGTCTTTAGTTGTCTGACAACACGTTTGACATAAATGTGCAGAATAAAAAAAAAACATATAAGCTTTTAAAAATCAAGCCGAAAATTTTTAAACGCAAAATCCAACATTCTTACTTTTGCCACTAAAAATTTAATTTGTTAAATCTTTATATTGTTAATCAAATGATTTTTAGACCATAATATAACCTGGAGTAATTCTTTTGAAACTAAACGCAAAATCTATTATTAATACGCCACTGCGGATACGTAACAAACCTGTAATTTTTAATTAATCCCTGCCTCGCAGCATTTCACTTTAGTTTCTTCCTTAAGTTAACTGCAAATACAGATTTGCTGAAGGGATTTTGTGAACTTCTTGTTGCGAATGCCAAACAAAACTTGAAAAAGAGGTATACGCATACTACTACGAAAACATTTTGCATGCAAGCCTATCGTTTCGTGGGAAATGCAGCTCGGTGAAATAAAACGCAAAATTTTTTCAATTTTCTCAAAAAATCAATGTTTTTAAAATTTATTTTTATTGACTCTTTCGCTTAATTAATTACTTTCAATTTTTATACTACTAAATATTTTATTTTACTGTTTCAACTTTCAACGGTTGCTAAATGAATTAACTAATACAGCTGATAGCTCATGATGGCATTGGAATTGCTGAACGAAAATTTGTGTGCTGCGCTCGCCTGCTGCATATTTATATTTGCGTACGAATGTGTTGGCATTTCGCGTGGTTTATCTAAGCTCACATGCAGAAATGGTAAATGTGTTTTAGTGAAATTTTTTAATTGAAATATCCATGTATGTAAGCGACAAAATCACACGCAAATTTAAAAGATGTGAAGTATTTCACACAAAACTATATATATGTATGCATGCAAGTGTGTAAGAGTGTCATGACATTTTATTTTGCATGCCAAAAATGTGTTTCGTGATTTTTCAAGCATTGTCCCGGCATCTGCACCAATACTAAAACATCTACAGTTTTTCATTTATTTTAAGAAAATGTTATATTAAATAAATGACATTTATTTTAGAAAAGCTTGAAAAGCTTGAAATTATTGAAATCATTCCGTGTGTATATTTTCAGACCACAACGTTTGTGGTTTACCTTTGACTTATTTCGAAAGCATTTTATCAGCATCAGCAAATAGTACGATGGAGAAAGAAAAAGAGTGAGTTATAGAGAAAGTGTATGTAAAAGAGTGAAAGTGAGAGAAAAAAAGAGAGAAAGTGTAAGTAAACAAGTGCAATAAATAAATATCTTTTTACAAAGTGGTGAAACCAGAAGAGCATGAGCAAGCGGAGCGAGGCGAGCGCAGAAAAAATGAATGGAAAAATGTGTTGTTTTTGTATCTTAAATATCTATAATGAAAGTTGGTGATATACGTATATGTGTGTACATATGAACGCACGTACGCATATAAAAGCATGAGTGACTGTGAATTTTTGTAGGCTACCAAAATAAGTTATTACGGCTTTTACACAAAAATTACAAACTACAAAGAGTTGATTTTATTTTTTTAGTAATTTTTTCATTTTAGTTTAGGAAAATAGACAGACATTGTGTACTTAAAGGCTTATAGAGGAGAAACATAAATAAATAAATAATTAAATATATAAATATTTTACAAAATTAAATAAATAAATTAAATAATCAAGGCTACGAACTAAAATAAATTTTTTTTATTATTTTTTTCGTTTTCTCTGGCGCAAGAAAGCGACTAACTAGCTGACATTAGTGATTAAGCCAATGGCTCTTAGTCGACTTTGTTACAACCATACATTTTTTTTTTAAATAATCTTTTAATTTTTCAATAATTTTGCGTTTTTTGTAGCGAATTTTTTTACAAATTATTTCTTGTGCATGTAAATTATTAATTACATTTTTTTTTTGTTTATAAATATTTATACGTAATTTTTCCTAAACAAGTGCAGTGTATGAACAAGCAGCTCTTTATTTGTTTGTCAAAAGTGCATCAAACGCTATTTTACAATAGTTTTGTTGCTATTTGTGTCCAAATTTAAATTTTTTATTAACTATCGAGCTAAAAATGGCTGCTGTGTATATTTGTAACTGTGCCATTTTGTGTGTTATAAACTGTAATTTGACTAGCACCAAACGCTAAGCGCATGAAATTTGTGTAGTAGAAAAAAGTATGAAAAGTTTTTAGAAACAATTTTCGGCAGAAAAAAAACTGGTTTAAAAAAATCTAGTATTCAAGTTAAGGTCTTTTGTTGTATGTGTGTAAATTTGCACTAATTTTAATAACTAATTATTTATTAAATTAATAAATTTATATTTTAAAATAGCTCAAGTCGATTCATTCAATTCTTTTGTTTTGTTTGCTTGTGTTGTTTCATTTATTTCCTGATTAATTAAATTTAATTTAAATTGTTTTTAGTCATTTTCATTGGTTCACTTGCACATCTATTGTTTGAGCGCTTTTTTGCTCTTCAAAGCACTTGTCGATTTTTTGGCCTTAGCTGTTGCTACGTGTTTCTTAGTGGCTGATTGATTTTTAGACTCACGTGCTTCACGTCTTGCCTCGATAATGTTATCGCCGATAATGTCGTCGTCATCATCATCTTCGCCATCGTCATCGTCCTCCTCGTCATCACCTGTTATGGCACCTGTAATTTCAGCGACTCCGTCATCAATATCATCATCATCTTCCTCATCGTAATCATCATCATCATCATCATCATCATTATCCTTATTACTGTTAACACTACTATTATTACTCAAAGTCGAAGTAACAGTTGCTGCACCATTAGCTACTGGGTTGACTGCTGCCGCCACCGCTGCTGGTTTCGCGGCGACTGCAACATTGTCGCCTTTCAAGCTTTGCGCCGGCAACTGTTGCTTCTTGTTTGGACTACCGCTACTACTACTACCACTAGTACTGTGTGTTGTTTTTGTATTAGTTGTTTTTGTTACTGTTGGCTTAATAGATGTTGCTGATGTGATTTTTGTGGTTTTCGTTGTTGCTGTTGTGGTTGCTGTTGGTGTTTTTTTCAGCGATTGTTTGTTGTTATTGTGATGATTATGAATTTGATTATTGAGATTCTGTGACGTGGATGTTGTTGATATTGGTGACTGATTGTTATGGAATTTTGTATTTGTATTTGTAATCGTATTCGTATTTGTATGAGGCGTTATGAGATGCGTATTTGTATTGGAGATGTGTGTGGCAATGTCTGTAGCAACATTCCCATGAATATCGCTATCGCTATCACTATCACTAACAATATCGCTACCATCAAAGATACTACTTTCCTCTAATACCAACCCTTCATCTTCTTCATGATCTTCATGATTTTCTTCTTGTTCTTGTTCTTGTAATTTAAGGTCTTCTATTAGTGGCTCTAAACTAACGCCATCTTCTAAAATATTACTACTTAACTCTTCATCGTAAAAAACATTTTGTTCACCTTCGTTGTTATTGCTTGCCGCAGCGATGGCATCATCAGCTGAGTTTCCCGCAGCTGCAGAGTCGGCAGCATTGCCGCTTTCGATGGGCAGATCCACACCGTCGGAGATGCCGCCACTTATGGCCGATTGGCCAACGGGAGCTAGATCTTCCAGTGGTGCAGCTGGTGCGGCGGGTGCAGCAGCAACTGGCACACTGGCAACAGCGGGGCTGGAGTCTTCATCATCATCGTCCTCGTCATCATCATCTGTGTTGAGAAATTTATTTTTTTTATAAAAAAGATGTATATTCAAGCTACATAAGTTTCTAAGCTCCCAATATAACTAAACGACCGTAAATACGCACCGCCCAAAATATCATCGAACAAACGATCCAAATAATCGTCATCGTCGTCATCCTCATCATCATCGCTAGCTGCACCGGCTGCCGGCGCCGCTTGTCCTTGAGGCGTATCATCCTCCTCATCATCATCATCCTCCTCATCATCGTCATCATCTGAAAGCCCCGAAAGAAATACAACTGTTTTTAAAACACATACGAGAGAGCGTTCATGAGAGCGTACATGAAAGTAAAAGACAAAATTTTGTTACGAACAAGCAAACAAACAAACACATTATTGTAATATTCTGCTAGCCAAAGTCAACCGAAAACCCCAAAGAAATCGCTTGCGCTTGGATTATTCTTTGTGCTTTGGTTGCATGACCGGCAGGTGGCGGTGCGTGCGCTTTTTTACGTGACGGTGCTGCTAACGATGCTACATAGTTGACACGATTTTTTTGCATATTAGGGTGGTAAAAAAAAATAAAGTAAAAAATTTAGAAAAAGCTATGTAAAAGCTAGCTGTGTGTTTTCGGCTATATTTTATGTCCAAAATAAAAAAAAATAAACCGAAATATTTTTATTCTAGTCTAATTAACAAATGGTCGTAAAGTAATTCAAATTTAAATTCAGAAACTTGCTGCCTTTTTTTAATAACCATGCAATATAATTTTCAATTTATTTTAACGATGTATAAGTATTATTTAACGCTGTCAGGAGCCCACATATTTGTGTAATTCGATACGAATTCCTGAATAGAAATTAAAAAAACAATAAGTCTTAATATAATTTAAAAACATTTTTATTCTTTACTTTTTAGGAAACGAACTTAATGTTTTATTAAACATCATATTTCCTTGAGCAATTAAAATTCAATAGTACTCGCTATTATTTCTACAAAAAGATTAAATAATTTTTAATATTAATAGAATTATCTTTGTTCAATAATTTTAATATCGTTATCAAAAAATCAATAAAATAAAAAAAAAATCTTTTAATTTAACTTTACTATTTATGAAGTAAAAATTATTTAAATTATTTAAATTATTTTTCGAAGTACCTTAGAATCTAAAGATTAGAAAAACTCATATTTATTTCAAGTTCTTTCAATTTTTCTTCTTTCGAATTATGCTCAAATGAGTTATCATTAGGAGAACTATAATTTTGCTCTTATGAAAATTGAGAGTTACTTAAAAATATTTTTATGAATTTGATTTTAATTTTTTTTTTTGCCACCCTAATGCCAATACATCCATATAAATTCACAAATACCATAGATATTCGCAAGTAGCTAGAAAAGAAATTCATGGTGATATGGTGCTGATGGAATTGTGCTGGTGCTAACAACAACTGCTTCAAAGTTCAGTTCGGTTCAGTTCAGTTGAGTTCATACGGTTTAAAGTTGAAAGTCGATTTGACAATAGCTTGCAATCAGTGTATGTAAGCATAACCTAACAATAGCAACATCTAAAGAACACCAATGCTTCTAGTATTTTTGTTGTTGTTATTGTTTGAAAACGCTCATATTTGCTTACAACAGTCAAATGAAAATAACAGAATAATAAAAAAACGAAAATAAACAAATGGGAGAAAAAAGTTGGTAGAACAAAAATAAGAACTGCGAAGAACCATAAAAAATAACGCAAAGACTGTTAGATGGCAAAAGAAAGAAAAAATAAATATACAAACAAACCAATTTACGAAAAGTCACCAGAGTCATCAGCAGCACTTACATACATACATACATACGTTTTATAGTTCTAAATTACATTGCAGTCGTAAAAAGGTAGTTGAAGTCCAGGCGGAGAGTAGTGCAAGTGCAGAAAGCACAAATTGCTAAATTCAATTTGTTTGCTCGCTTAACCAAAGAAATGACTAAATACTTATTTATTTGTGAAATTTGTGTGTTCAATTGCATGAGCGTGAGGAAAACTGTTACACACACACTTACCGTCATCATCGTCGACAAGATCACCTAGATCGGGTTCATCGTCATCATCATCATCATCGTCGTCGTCATCATCATCATCATCATCATCCACTGGTGCAGCGGCGGGCGCGACTTCATTAACGGCCTGTTGTCGCGCAATCGCACGCTCCTGACGTTCGACCAACTGCACGGGAGAGGCTTGAATTTGTATCAGCACAGCGCTGAGGATGCAGAGGAGTAGGACGAATTTCATGATGCTGCAAAAAAGGGAGATTGGAAAAATTAAATAAAAATTAAATACAATCTTAAACGAAAAATTGCAATCTTTATAGATTAAAAATAGTTATTTAAAAAAGATCTGAACATTTTTTAGATCTCAATGTAGCGTAATATAATAATAATTTTTTGTTCATAATTTTAAAGAGTTTCATATTAAAATTCATTTGAAAGCTTTTAAATGAGATTTTTTCAATAATAAAAGGTGCTAATTATTTAAAATATTAATAATAAATACATATCGAGCATTTTTGAATTTTAAGTACGAAGGCCAATATCTAAAATTAATATGTTAGAAAAAACATTAAAACAGATATCACAATTCGAAGAAGGAACTTGACCGAAAATCGGTTCGGCAGTTACTAAGCACCTTTTATTTAAACTAAATTCTTTATTTATACTATTTTAATTATATCACTTTAGCAGTGCATTTTAAATAATAGTGAAACCGTTTAAGTTTTTTCACATAAAAAGTTAATTTGAGAAGCTAATTACGTCTCATAGGCCTCACTGACTCAACCAGGGCGGATGAGCTGAGGTAAAATTTTTTATGAAAATATAACTGTTTCAAGTTCAGTGCCATATAAATAAAAATACCTGCTTCTTGGTCTTTCTTTCGTAAATATATGTAGGTTTGTATATGAAAGTCTGTACGAAAAGAATTCGCTGCACCCCGCAATTTATGAACACACTCGAACATACAATCATAAATAAATACCAATGAGCGTTTTGCATGCTCACTGAAGAGAGACCAGCTAAAAATTTGTATGTACTACTGAATATCTGAACTCCTCTCGTTATGGCAATTGTGGCAAATACACTTCTAAACGTGCATTTGTACTCAAGCACCATTCTGCATTGTCCGTTGTCCATGGTCGGCACGAATTCATATTTAAATTCGAATGAACATTCTGAACCCTTACTCTTATACTGACTTTAATTTTAATATATTTTTAACGGCATACAGTAGATATATTGACGACGAATCAACTTTTGCTTTGACAGAATTTTTAAAATAAATTAAAAATGGTAAGAACTACTGCTTAAAGGAGCTCTATTTTTAACCTTTTACAAAATTAATTATATGTTTTATTTATTATTTATGTTTCTTGCTAGTTTCTTCGAGCTCTTTTCTTTTCGCAATCGTGAATTTTGCTGCAAGAAAGCGGTAAACCTTTTGTCTTGCAATTCTAGGACCTGTGTAAGCTTTTTCGTCGTCGTAAAGAAGAACGCAATCCATTCGAAAATCTCACATTTGCCTCGTCAATGTTTTTAATATCACAACAAAGGTGGATGAAAGTATGATTTCGACTTCGGTCAACAAGAGTAGGTGCATAAGCGTTGGAATACTGGATGTTTTTTTATTTTATTTTGAAGAATTTAATGTTTAAGATTTTATTTCATTTACCCCATTTTATTTTGTTTGTTTATTATTTTATTTTATTTTATTTTATAATGTTATATTATCTTATTTTATATGACCCCAACTAAAGTGGCATCATTATACTTTGTCTCATTTCATTTAAAATGTAATTTTTTTACTTTGTTTTACTTTTATTAATTTTTTTCATGCCGTTTTTGTTTTCTTTTAAGTTATTTCATTTTAGGTTATTTTATTTTATTTTATTTTATTTTATTTTGTTTTATTTTATTTTATTTTATTTTATTTTATTTTATTTTATTTTATTTTATTTTATTTTATTTTATTTTATTTTATTTTATTTTATTTGATTTTATTTTATAATTTAATATTTTCATTTATTTTATTCTATTGTTATTTCTAACAATTTATTTAATTTTTTTATTTTCTTTTACATTTTGTTTTATTTTATTTTCTTTTCTTTTCTTTTTTTATTTGATTTGATTTCATTTTCTTTTATTTCATTTCATAACGTTAAGTTATTTCGTTTTTCGTTATTCTATTTCATTTCATTTGTTTATTTTATCTTATTTTATTTTCTTTTATTTTATTATTATTATTTTTTTATTTTTTCATTTTATTTTCATTTTATTATTTTATTTTGATTTATTTTATTTTATTCAACTTAATATTATTAAACTTTTTATTTGTTTTATTTTATTTCATTTAAATTTTTTTTATTTTTTTTTCATTTGATGTTTTTTTATTTCAATTTTTTTATTTCATTTAATTTTTTATTAAAATATTTATTGTATTTTTATTAAATTTCCTTCTTAATTGTTTTATTTTTTTTTATTTATTTCATACTATTTTTCATTTTATATTATGCTCAAATATTGATTTGACAATGTGCTCATAAATACAACGTGAGTTTTTAATTTTTTTCGCTGCAACCCTTATTTTCGCACATTTTTTGTTATTTTTCTGTGCGGACAATGTGGCACAATGCGTTGGATACCTTGCATTTTATGTTTGCGCTCTATAAATAAACTCACATTTATTTGTATTGGTAAATACATACATGTGTTAAAATATGAACATAAATATGAACGCATATAAGTAAGGGTGCGAGCGAAATATGTCAAGAAAATAAAACTTTCTTTTGGATAAACCAATGTAAAAGCTAAAACAACAAAAAGCCAGTAGTGACGAGCTGGTTGTAAAGCAACAATAGCAACATTAAATGAATTGTTTTTAATGAATACAGTCTGGACAATGGTTTCACTTCCACACACATATAAAACAAATATAAACTTGCATTCCACTGCATGTATACGTATATTAGTATATATAAGCACTTACAACAGCAACACCATGAAAAAATAACGTCTGTTTTCATGTTAAAAATTGCGGTAGAGGAATGTAATGAAAACCAATTGCATTTGCAAAATTAAGTAAAAAAATTAAAATTATATGAATTGTTATGGCAATCATTAAGTTAAATATGATTCCCATTAACATACATGTTACAATTGGCTTCAATCAATTAATTTATGTGTGTGTAAATATTTGAATGAAATATGTAAGTAACTGCAGTAACAAGTTGACTTGGACTCATTTGCTTTATTTATGGTGTGAAGTGCTGAAGCCTTGAAGCCTACTTATTTAAATAAGTGCTTAACTGTGTTTGTAGTTGTGGAAATTTGAATGTGTAACTGCAAGCTGTTACTCATTTGCGCAGTTATTTTTTTTTCTTTTAAAAGTGAAAGTTCCTTTAACGTTATTATAGAGGTTCTTATTGCAACGGATGCAACTATTTTCAGATTGTTTCGGAGTTAAATATCAATTGTGAAAAAATTTTACATTTCATATGAAACAAAATGTTAAAACGTTTGTTTAATGAAAAGTTTATTTTAAATATATAAAGCGCGATATTGGATACGATATGGTTATAAAGATTGAAAACAATGAAATAAGAAAAATTTTAAATTCATATTTCGCTCAAAAAATATTACTTAGTTCCTCAAAAAATGTTCAATGCACACATATTCTCAAGGAAATGCTTGCCGACACTTTAACAGTTTCCAAAATTATTTTTGTTTTCTTTGATTTTTCATTAGCGTTGAAATGAAATAAATCTTCGAGTAAATATTATTCGTTTTCCAATTATATATATGTATGTTGTCGAATTGTAACGATTCGGTTTGGCTTAAGCATTTGAAAATTTTATCGTCAAAGTAGTTATTCAAATGGATTTTGTTTCAGTTTTACCTGACAGGAAATGTTGCCGTTAATGTTAACTCGGTAACAGATTATGTTAAATGTTAAAATTGTGCTTTTAATATCACTGCAGCAGCCATTTTAAAATTAAGGTTAAAAGCGAATTCATTTCGTTTCTATAATATGGCGCCGAAACTAAACAAAAGCATTTTGTTAAGTAATTTTTGATACTATCAAAACCAAATGGTATTAACTTGTTGGCAGAGCATCTCTTTACTTTTTGCTTTCAATCGTTATTTCTTATATTCGCTAAAAATTCGAAAATTTTAAAATTACTTCACTCACTGCTTATTTAAAAACATGGACTCGCTGCCGTTGCAATTTTCAATTGCTAAATTTGCCTTGCCTCAGGCGGAAAGAAAAAAATTAGTTGACTTGTTATCAGATATTTATAGTTAAAATTTTTATAATTTTTTTCTTTAAACAAAACGAAATCTAATATCCTTTAAGTATTTTATAAAAAATTAGTGAATAACGCTTTGCTGTGAAAACTGCTGCTTAAATATTTTTTGTTTTATTTTTAATTGATGCACCGGTATAATATTTACAAATGAAAGCGGCGTAAGTAAATTCATATATGTATGTATTTAGGAGAATTTCTCTACTGTCATATGCACATTTACCACGTCTTCGATGGCTTGGTATGCTTTTTGGCAAAGTTGTAATGCCACTTTTAAACTGGTATGCATTGACAAGTAGATACATACACATAAATATACATAATTGGCGCTATGTAACCGCTAGTTCGGTTGAGCTCTTTCTTTAATTTGTTGGGTGCATTTTTATGTTTTTCCAACAAATCCGGGGACCTACAGTTTATACTAAGCCGCCTCCTAACGGATGATAGTTCTCTTTTGACGAACCTTTATTTCTTGTCAGAAGTACACTCGGAGGGTTTGGCACTTCCTGCCGAGGCGCGATCGCAATTAGAGAAATGAGTTTTCGATAATTTTATTCGAACCAGGACTCGAACCCTGGCCTTTAGAATGGCAATACGCAATGCTAACTAAATGCTGCAATTGCGTCCGCTATAAATAAATACATATTTACATAAATAAATGCGTGTACACCTGTGTTAATGAGATCAGTATCGTTATGTATCCCCACTGACTTTGTGTGGCTTTGAGTGGGTCACGAGTCAACAGGCGCTGAGCTCCTTGAAATGATTTCTACTACAACAACTGAAGTAGATGGCAGAGCTACTTTAAAAACAAAAATCTAAATGTCAATTGTTAAAACTGTTAATACTTCTAAACTCACACACACAGCTATATATACGCAGGCACATATATCCAGATAGTAACAAGAACATCAACACAGCTATTCAACTACAACTCACAA